TTTTTTTTTTTTTTTTTTTTTTTTTTTTTTTTTTTTTTTGCGCACAGTGTGCGACTCCCTCAGCGCGCGCATCGCGCACAGCGGACAGCACTGCGTACTGCGCACAGTGCGCACGCTGTTGTTCCAGCGCACAGCGCAGTGCGCACCGCCCCGCACCGCACTGCGCACTGGTGCGCCGCAACTATGAATATTACTAAGATAGATTCTTGGAATTATGTTAAAACTTAAAACTCAAAACGGATTGCAAGTTGGTTGAATCTCCATGTTATTAAAGGTTGAGTTTTGCTGGCAGCCATGCTGGGGAAGAAAGCGGACATCGAAGTGCTCGCTTCTCAATGGTCTCAATGCCTTTTTTTTTACTTCTTTTGACCACCATGACAACGCAAGCGTTTTGTAGCTTCCAAAAAAAAAACAAAAAAAAAAGACAGGTTTCCAGAAAAAAATTGAAAGAGTAAAAGAATTGTTGTTTCATTACAAAGCGAGCCTTTCTCTAGCTTTTTGAAAAAACTAAAGAAGAAGAAAAACTTGAAAAAGAAAAAAAAAAAACAAAGAAAAAAAACGGAAATGGTGTTGGGGCACGGAAAGCCTACCATCTTCACCCGAATAGAACGCTCAGTCATTATAGCTGAATTTGGTGCAAGTTTCGGTCTAGATACAGCGATAATGACTGGCCGTTCTATTCGGGTGAAGACTGTAGTTGCATTGTGTATCATTGCTATCAGGTCAATAATAAATGGTGAATGAAAAAAAAAAAAAAAAAAAAAAGCATCCTTAATCTTCAGTTTCTTAACTATATCCTATGTTCTTGCCACCTTTCTTTGGCAACTTTTTGAAATTTTCTCTGATGGATTTAAATTTGGTCAACTTTTGCATTGACTTTTTGTTGGCATCCATGTTGAAAATCCCTGCGTCTAAATTTACTACGCAGGTTGTGACGGGGCCAGATGTAAGGCAAGTTACTGGCCCGGCGACAGGCGCACAGATCAAGAACATCTCCTTGTCTCTTTCTCTCCAAGATTGCCATCAGCGGGTCAGCGTAATCGCTGCCAATCTTCCTCCTCCTGGAACTGAGGTGTGTACCTATCTCTTTACCGGAAATATGTCCAATCTTTCTTTTCTTTTTTTTTTCTTTTTTTTTTTAATATTGTCCCAAAATGAGTTTTGAAAAGTAAAAAAGAAAAACAAGAGCCTAGCTCAGTGGGTACACCCATGAACTGTTGAAATACAGGCCTGTGTTCGAATCCGGATGATGGAACTTGACGAGTAAAACCAACTACTAATGAATTGCTTGGGGCCGGTCAGCTCAATGATAATATCTCAAGGCCGTCGCCCTTTTGAAAAAAAAAAAAAAAAAAAAGTTTGTTTTTTTATTCCAAAGGGCGATGGTCTTAAGATATCATCATTGAACTGACCAGCCCCAGGTAATTCAGAATTACTTTATTCTCTTCATATGATTTCATCTGGATTTGAAATTTTAAACTTGGGTCGGTATTTCAACAGTTCACGGGCGTACCAACTGAGTGAGGCCGTTGGTAGTAACAAAAGTTTTGAATCCCATGACAGACGCAGATGCATATGAAGATCTCCTCACGTATTTCCTTTCGTAAACCTCTTTCTCCTCCTCCTCCTCCTCCTCCTCTTCCTCCCCCTGCTCGTCCTCCTCCTCCTCCTCTTCCTCCTCCTTTTCCTCCTCCTCCCCGTCCTTCTCTTCCTCTTCCCCCTCCTCTTCCTCCTCTGCCTCCTCTTTCTCCTCCTCCTCTTCCTCCTCCCCCTCCTCCTTCTCTTCCTCTTCCCCCTCCTCTTCCCCCTCCTCCTCCTCCTCCTCCTCCTCCAACAACTGCAATCTCTGATGACTGACATCTTAATGTGTACTGGAATTGGTTGGCTGGTTTGGGTGCTCATTGTCCTATTAGTCTGACATTGATTTTTCTGCTGTGCCATGTGTAGCTGTTGTCGGCTTCGTTGGGATCTATTTATGGCGTTGCCTCAGATGCGATAACCCCGCTCTTCACAGCTATGGTTGAGATGGTGGAGAGCAGTATCCTGCAGATGCACGATTACAGTTTTGGAAGGTAAGATGCATTTTTGTCAGGTGGTGGGGTATTCATTCTTCATTAAGTTTTTCATTTTTTCATCACGTTGTTTTTCTGTTTTTCTTAAACCGCTAGGACATGGCCCAAGCCTTGTGGAGGATTGTTCATCACCTACTCCAAAAAAGTCGGAGCCAGCATGCCGTCGTTGGAGACCTCTCTCTCTCTCTCTCTCTCTCTCTCTCTCTCTCTCTCTCTCTCTCTCTCTC